TATGAATATTGACAATAGAAAATATCAAAATCAGCTATATTTCAATTTGATTTGAATATTTTCAATAGAAAATAACAAAAAATTTCATATATATATATATATATATATATATATATATATATATATATATATATATATATATATGGGTATTTCATTAAGACGCATCAAAATCCGCGGTAAGTAAATGTTATTGGAGAAAATGTATTCATGTTATATAAGCCATAGCAATTATGTGTGAAAAATAATATCACCCAAATGTCCACCAAATCTGAAAGAAAAAGAAAAACAATCTTTAGACGGTCAAACTTAATTCACATTTAAAATAGGTCCAAGATATTGGAACGACCTTTACTTCGAAGCCGGAAAAAGAAAAAAGAAGAAAAATAACAATTGAAAGCCCGGGAAACAGAAAGAAGAAGGGGTTACGCATAAAGATAGGAATTAAGAGAGAAATGAAGAATGAGAAAAAAAATATTGAAGGACTCAGAAATGCAGAGGAAAACAGAGAGAAATAGAGAAAGGCCAAATCAACATACAGGTGGATCACCAATTTTTTCGCACCTCTGGCACCTCTTTTAATAAGGCTAAAGAATATTGAACTGTTACGTGACGTCTGTATTTCTTTATGGCAGCAAATATTAGACGTTTGGTATGGTTTGCTTTCGTTTATTTTGTTTTAACTCATATCAACCTCAATGGGTTATTTCATGCCGACATTTTTAGGATAGATTCGTATGAATAGAGTATGTATTCTTTGGTTTAGATTGGTTTGGTTTATTTTGTTTAACGGCATATCAACCTCAATGGGTTATTTAATGCCGACAACATTTTTAGGATAGATTCGTATAAATAAATTATGTATTCTTTGGTTTAGATTAGTTTGGTTTATTTTGTTTTAACTCATATCAACCTCAATGGGGTATTTAATGCCGACAAAATGTTTTATTGCTGGTAATATTTTGTTTTCTCAAAATCTGTTTCTGGTATTTTCATATATATATATATATATATATATATATATATATATATATATATATATATATATATATATATATATATATATATATATATATTTTCCTTCAAAATTGTATTGCTGGTAATAATTTTTTCGAAAAGTATTGCTGGTAATAGTTAACTCTTTGCTCATAGCTGGAACCCTAACAGGAGATACCAACCAGAGTCAAGGTGGGCGTGGGAACACCAGCAATTAAAAATTGGTTCCACACTCCTCAAAACCTCCTGAGCAGAGGCCTTGCTGCTGGACGTAGTTTATCGTCTTACCCAGGACGCCGGATATTGGACGATTTCCTCAAAGATGAAGAAGAGACTCAAGGCGACAGAGATGTGGTTCTACAGAAGGATACTGAGGATATCATGCACCGTGCGTGTGTGCAACGATGAGATCTTAGAGAGGTTGTAAAGAAGGGGGAGGCTTATACTTAATATCAAGGAGAGGCAGCTGAAGCTTCTGGGACACATAATGAGGAAAGAGGGCCTGGAGAATCTGATACTCACGGGTCGAATAAAGGGAACGAGAGACAAGGGAAAACAAAGCGTCATTCTCAGATGATTGGTAAACAAGAAGGATGCTAAGGATATCATGGACCGAGCGTGTGAGCAACGATGAGGTCTTAGAGAGGTTGAAACCAAGGAGGTGGCTTATACTTAATATCAGGAAGAGGCTGATAAAGTTTCTAGGACACATAATGAGGAAGGAGGGCCTGGAGAATCTGATATTCATGGGTCGAATAGAGGGAAAGAGAGACAAGGGAAAACAACGCGTGACATACCTGGCGGACATAAGCAAGTGGATGAGAGAACCTGGTCTGGGGGAGGAAGCAGAGGGTAGGAACTTGTTGGGAGCTTCAAGGGATTGAGGAAGCTGGGCAGCCATGATATCCTAGGTCTCGGAATAACATGGTACATAAAAAAGAAGAAAGAGTTATTAGCAAAAGATGATGCTTAAATCGAGTAGATGGAACTATTCAATCTAGAGTTTACGGTCCATCAAAAAAGGAGGAGGAAGACCCTCCGCTGTTTTAGAATCTACCAAATCTTAAGAAAATCTCAGCAAAAGACAGACCGGCGTTGAATTCGTTAGGGCAACTCCTACACACTCGACCAGGTCAAGTACTATCAGTACCCACCCTTCCTTTTGGTCAACATCGGTGACGTGAAGAGGGTCGATTCTCCTCCTGCTATCATCTACATTTACAAAAATCAGATCAGGCGTACTGTTGTCATATTTGGGCAAGAGCCGCCCAGCCCTCAATTCCTGATCTCTATGAAGCCCACAAACGTCTCCGAGTCCTTGTGGGTGACAAATTATTTTCCACCCTCCACAGGTGGGATGTGTAAAATTCTGATTAAATATGAATACACTCACTCACGGCTCTATCGCTATTTCCGTGTTCGGACAAATTACATTTGTTGGTTCCGTCTCTTCCAAACTTCACGGCTGGGACCCGCCATGCCACGCCCATTTTAGCTAACCACCCTCATTCATTGCTTATTTCATTGCTGAAGAGTAAGTTACATTTGAACAGATTCTTCCCGCGAACCACAGCTCCGAGGAAACGACTCCCAAGAGGATGTTTCCCCGATCACTACAATCACAAACTTTCTTTCTTTCTTTCTTTCCTTCTTTCTTTCTTTTCCTTCACTAACATACTTCTTTCTTTCTTTCTTTCTTTCTTTCTTTTCCTTTCCTTCACAACATACATCTGTCTTTCTTTTCCTTCACGAATATATTTCTTTCTTTCGTTTTTTCTTTCTTTTCTTCACTATCTTATTTCTTTCTTTATTTATTTCTGTTCCTTCAGTAACATACCTGTTTCTTTCTTTCTTTCTTTCTTTCTTTTCCTTCACTAACATACATTTTTCTTTCTTTCTTTGCCTTCACTAATATACATCTTTCTTTCTTTCTTTTCCTTCACTAACTTACTTCTTTCTTTCTTTTTTCTTTTCATTTACTAACATACTGCTTTCTTTCTTTCTTTCTTTCTTTCTTTCTTTCTTTCTTTCTTTCTGTTCCTTCACTAACATACGTCTTTCTTTTTTTCTTTCTTTTCCTTCACTAACATACTTCTTTCTTTCTTTCTTTTTTTTACATTCCTTGTCATTTTTTCTTTCTTTCGATATCTTCCCCGAAATTTTTGTTTGTTTTTCTCTTTGTATCCCACGTATACTTGGGTACCTCGGCGTCGTGTAATGGTTGGCAAGTTTGTCTCGCTAGAACAATTATGAGTGCATAGTGAGTTCGATCCTCACTGGGTGCCCCAAACTTTCGGCCTTGTGCTACATCTAAGCCACGCTTAGAAAATTATGACACCTCGAGTTTGTGTAATGGTTTGCAAGCTTGTCTCTTTAGAATAATTACGACTGAATAGTAAGTCGATCCTCATTGGGTCCCTCTTAATTTCGGCTCCGTGCCACATCTAAAGCTACGCTTGGAAAATCGATATACTAGCTTTATTTTGTTTGTTTGTTTGTTTACTGCTTTCTTTCTTTCTTTCTTTCTTTCTTTCTTTCTTTCTTTCTTTCTTTCTTTCTTTCTTCAAGTCTGGGTTTAACAATTATCTTCCCTACGTATCCGCATAGACTGCTTTTTACTGTAAACCTCTACCTCGATGGACTCTCGGACCTTGTACAGGTTGTGCCTCACGGTTAAAAAAAAAGATTACAGTTGAAAACATAAAAGATAGAGATCATTGCTGTGAAAAAAGAGAAGTATTTAAACGTGTCTTTTTACGAGATACAACGAAAAAAAGTGTTTAAGAAAGACAGAACGAATGATGACGATACAATTGAATACACACTGTCATTTCTTTTAAAGGGTAGGGATAAGATAGTGGTACTGAATCAGGGTATCTTTGTCTAGCACTGTCATGGTACCCTGGCATAGATGAAACTCACTACCCCAGCGATTTGATCTGTTCAACTAACTCGCTCACCAATACACTAGTGGGACACTCTCTTTATTTACGAAATTTAGCTTTAATCTGACCCTCCGCTACGGGGCGTGGGTGGTCGCTAGATATCGAACCCAAATGTTTTGACGGTGACCAAATTGCTAACCTGTCCTACTCTCGACTAGAGAAAGGAAAAAGAAAACACGGAGAGTCATAGAGAGGGGGAGAGGGAGTCAAAGAGAGAGTAAAAGACATAGAGAGAGAGAGAAAGAGATACATATATAGAGAGAAAGAAACATAGAAAGAGAGAGAGAGAAAGAGCGAGTGAAAGTAACATAGGGAGAGACAGAGAATGAAGGATCGTCAGAGCGATATATAGAAAGAAAGAAAGAAAGAAAGAAAGAAAGAAAGAAAGAAAGAAAGAAAGAAATATATGTAGAGAGAAAGAGACGTAGAGAGACAGAAAGAGCTAGTGAAAGTGACATAGAGAGAGGATGAGAGCGAGTCGGGGAGACAAAGAAAGGAGGGGTAGTCAGAGCGACTGAGAGAGAGAGAGAAGGTGACGTAGAGAGATAAAAAGAAAGAAAGAGAACACAGAGAGAAAGAGAGCAGAGAGGGAGAGAGCGAGAGAGCGAGAAAGAGAGTAGAGAGAAAGAAAAAAGAACAATGAAAAAGAGAGAGAGAGGGGGGAAGTGAGAGATAAAAAGAAGAGAAAACAAAAAACTTAGACAGAAAGAGAGAGAGAGAGAGAGAACCAAAGAGAAAGACAGAAAGAAAGATTGATAGAGAGGGAGATAAAAAGAGATAACAAAGAGGAAAAAGAGACATAGAGAGAGAAAGAGACATAGAGATCACATAGAAAGAAAGTGAAAGAAAAATTGGGAGAAAGAGAGAAAGAAAAAAGAGAGAAGGAGAGCAAGAAAGAGATGAAAAGAGCGGGTGAAAATGACATAGAGAGCGAATGGGAGAGAAGGTAGATTATTAAAATGAATTAATTTTCCTTATGTTTTTCGATGCCAAACATTCGCTTTTTTTTTGTGTGGTAGTGACACAAATGCTTTTATTGGACTGAAAAATAATTCATTTTAATAATATATGGAAAATATCCACTCTCTGCCTGATGAAGGTTGCGGGACTCGAAACACGTGTTGCAAAATTATGAAAAATAAAGCATAATATATATTTAAAAGAAATTCACATTACAACCAAAAATGTTTGTGGTTTCTTTTTCCCTTTTAACACACACACACACACACACACACACACATATATATATATATATATATATATATATATATATATGAAGAGTTTAGGTTTGAAGAAAATTGGCGCAATGTTGCGCTGGCTGAAATAGGCTGTACAGACATGTGGTAATTTTGGATTTTTTTTGTGTAATATATATATATATATATATATATATATATATATATATTGTCGGAGTTAGCTCCTACTTATTTCCCTAGGCTTTTCACCAGGGGTCTCTCTTCCCTGGCTATAAATACTGGCTGACCCTTCGCCTCAACCTCTTTTTCCCTCAAGTCTTTGGGCCGCCACCTTGAGGTAAATCTCTTTTTTGCCTCAGGCTTTCAGCCTTTCCACTTCGCATATGTGAACGCTCACAGATACAGCGTTTCCCAAATACTGGGAACACGCTAAGAACAATACACGTACGTACGAACACTCACCACAACACACACACACATAATATTCACCACACACACTCTGTCCATTTAACTGCCCATGTAACTTGTAATCTTTCTTGTTATTAATACATATATTTGTTTACATATATTTATCGCTCTTGTGTTTGTTTTTCTTTGCCTTCTTTGAACTTAAAGTCCAACTTTCTCATGTAGTTGGACCGGCTAGCAGGGAAATCTTAACCCACATGTGTTCATCTACTTATACTCAACATCGCCGATACGGTCCTCTATATATATATATATATATATATATATATATATATATATATATATATATATATAAAAAAAAGAGAGAGAGAGAGAGAGAGAGAGAAAATGGAGAAAATACCAGTAAAGAGATTATTAAAAAGAAAAAAAAGAGGAAAATGTAAGATTTGTAAAGTCTCAGATTTTAGAGAAAGAAAGACTGAGAGTTTAATATAGAGAGTGAGAGCATTGACGTCGAAGAAATGCATCGAAGAGTGAGAGGTCGTCGTCTCGAGTAGAGAGAATAAGACTTTGATAGAGAGTGGTATCAATGCGATTTTCTTAGAAAGGGAAGGAACCACTAGGTTTCAATCAAGACGAATATGTAGTGTTGTAATAGAGGGCGATGCGAGGGAGAGAATATTCGAAACGCAGTGTGTTGTAAGGCCTTCGTCTGAGAGAGAAACGCTAAGAGCCGTATAGAGAGAGGGAGTGTCACGACACAGTCCTCGCCTGAACTGGCTTACAAGGAAGAAAGATGGAATGGATTCCGTTTTTCAATACATCGTCGTCATTTCTAACAGTAAAATAGAGAGGCCCGTAAGGGATCTTGGCCCCTGGTAGTCGACCCTAGAAGATAGCCACACCCAAAAAAGAGACAAAAAAAAAAAAAGAAAAAGGGAAGGAAATACTAGATGAATATGTTGTGTTAAATTAAATAAGACGGAAGAAAAGCTAGCCTTTAAAATAATGGTATAGACATAAACTATGCAAGAAAAGACAAAGGTGGGCAGTTCTCTAAACAACCTTGTGCAGGAGTGCTTGCAGCCTGTCAGTAGAAGTCTGGATGTCCGACCTCAGTATTTCAGGTGGTATACCTTCAGGGCCCGCTGTTTTGTCTGATTTAATAGACCTGATGGTCTTGGTGATCTCATTCTTGGTAATGGGTTGAAGCAGTGTTAATGTCGAGGAGTTTGGTAGATGGTGAAATGCCTGGTGGAACGAATGGTGCTGGTTTGTCGAGTGTTTCGTTGAAGTATTCCGCCCACCTTTTTCTCTGTTCCTCTTCCCTGAGATGGTACTGCCATTCTGGTCTTTGACGGGGCAACTGGTTTTACAATTTTTTCCCATTGAGAGTCCTTGTGATTTCATACAGCCTTTTCATGTTTCTTTGGTCCGCTGCAGTCTGCAGTCTCTGCTTCCTGGGTCAGGTCCTCAATGAAGTTCCTCATGTCATTTCTCTTACTTCTCTTCACTTCCCAGTTCTTCTCCCAGTAAAGTGTCTGCAATTCCTGCTTCCCTTCTGGGTCTTGGGTCTGGTTGATCTGGTCTTTCAGTTCTTTTCTCTCGGTGATCAATGCCAATGTTTCTGTCGTCAACCACGCTTTGTGTTTCCTTGTTTTCCTCTCCAGGACTGTTTGGCATGTTGTTTACACGGACCGAGAGGAACCCGATGAAGACCACAGAGCTCGTTAGCCGAAACTTTGTGACAATAATAATAAAGATGAGAATATTCACCAAATTGTAGATGATGATATCTCCTCATCACATAAATTTTCAAAAGTCTGCCTGGAAAACAGAGTTGTTATTATTATTATTATTTTTATTATTATTATTTCTTCCCCTCCGCTACCACCACGCTATTTTCACTTTAGCAGAAACCGTCTGCTAAAATATCTTGGCGGGAAAAATTGAGCGCGAAAATCAAATCGCAAGATCGAATTCAACTGGATTATCTCCCTTTGTCATCTTCAATGACTCCGCTAATTTCGAGAAAGTGAATTTCGTTGTTACACAGATTAGACGCGCTTGTTATCAGAAGCTGCGCTGAACAAAATCTTTGACAAGTAAAGTCAGCTGAATTTCAAATACGAGAATTAGAAGCAGAAGAACGAATAAAGTCAGATCAATAACAGACAAAAAAAAAATGTAATCACGAAATAAGTCTTGTTTTTTCGTTTTCTTTCCTTTTTTCTTTTTTTTGTAGACTTAATGCTTTTTCAATATAAAGTCACCTGTAATCATCTGCTGTCTGATAAAACAAACTTTAATATAACTAATACCGACTGTACTTATTGCTTTTTCAGCAGTATTAACTAAAAACTCTCAACACACGAGTATCTATAAATGTACGCTGAAACTAGTAGAAGCTTTTAAAACAGAATAGATCTGATAAACTACAGCAAGAATAAGTGTATTTAAATAAAACATAGAATAGCTTTCTTTAAAATAGACATTGAATAGTCCAGTTTAAAACAGACATTGAATACCACAGTTTTAAATAGACACAGAATAAACCTAAATAAATATATATATATATATATATATATATATATATATATATATATATATATATATATATATATATATATAGTTTAGGAAAAACTAGGTAATCCGTATGGGTAAACCTAAGGAGGATAAAATCCAGAGAGCTCAATGTAAATCCGGAGCAAATACTTTAAATAAAAACAGACCACTTTAAGGTTCCATGTAATAAATTATTTCACCACAGCCCTTTTAAAAGGACTGCGGATCGTCAGACTTTACTTCCAAACAAAAAATGAAAAGAAAATTTACACATTTTTGACGGGCCGTATTAAACATATGTAAATTAACGAAGTGAGGAAGTGAGGGGGGAAGAGAGAAGACATGAGGGAGTTAGCAGATATTGGCACATTTAAACGGCTAACTTAACGGAAGTTATATATTGATATCGAAGGGGTAGAGAAGAAAAAACCCATAGTGAGAAGGAAGTTATGAGAGAAGATGTCACTAATTTTCTATGTAAAAAAATGTTGGAAACAGACGCTGATATTTTGCTTTACTTTGAAAGTGTTATTTTGGCGGTTCATAAAGATTATAATGTTTGATATAAATTTGAATGTCTCTAAACTATCTACAAATAATTTAATTTGTTGTTTGTTAGTGAAGTAATTTTTTTTTTAATTTTGGGGATTTTCTATGAAATAGTCGATTAGAAAAAATATTCATAGAAAGTACATTAAGAGATTAAAATTTTATTTTAAAATATAAGTTTACTTCTAGTAATCTTTTTTTAATCTCTTTAAAAAAAATTTCATTATGAAAAAAATATATATATATATATATATATATATATATATATATATATATATATATATATATATATATATATATATATATATATATATATATATATACGTAATGTATAATACGCATTTTTTTCTAAAAAATACTAACCAAAATCAGGAGGTGCGTCTTATGTAAAACAAAAAAAAAATCTTTAAAAAATTGCCTTAAAATAAATTAAGAATTATAAAACTAAATTAGAATAATATTATTGTATGTCTAAAACCATTTTTTAAATAAGAGTAGGAAACGCTGGCCTAAAGAAATTGAAGAGTTACAGTGTATAGGGTTTGGTTACCAAACAACGGGTGCGTATTATGCATGAGTATAACCATTTTCCAAACTTTCAGCCCAATTTTTGGTGTGCGTATTATGGATGAAGGGGTATTATACATGATGAATTACGATAGATAGATAGATAGATAGATAAGTTTTTGTGTGATGGAAAGATTAACTTTAAGCACGAAACACACTGTTACTGCTGGGTGTTGACCTCATTGTCCACTTTTATATTTGCACACGTTCTATCACAGATATTGATCTCTATAACCCAGAAATATAGCGTTAAATCAATATTTTTTATCATACATATATATATATATATATATATATATATATATATATATATACGATAAAAATAGTATGATTGCTATATATATATATATATATATATATATATATATATATATTTGTGTATTTAGGCAGCAAATTCTCTTTTAGACATGTCTGGTTGAATAAATTACTGATATTATGTCTGATAATTTTTAACAAAATCCCTTCATACTCACGAATAATCTTCCGTGTATTGACATTAAAGGATGAGAGAAATGTCCTATTGCTGTTTCAATT